CTTAGTCAATTCAACATCAATATTTAAATATCATTGTTTTAAAAAAATTTCTGAATGACTCAACAACTTTCGTGGCTCGGTGAATGATCTTTAGGGATATAATAAAATTTCTTAACCATAGGATAGTACATTAACAGATTATTTTATTCAAGTAAACACAAATAGTTTCAGATTAAAGTCACATACTTAGTATAAAATAAATTTTATAGTTAAATACGTTCATTACTATTATTTTCAAGTATAGTTATTTATTTATTTATTACGAAATGATGTGCATGCTTGAGCATGCATGGATACTACGCCACAAAAAAAAAATTAATGAGAATGCAAATCTTAAATTCTCTATAACTAAAAGGCTTTAGAGGGGAACTATAATTCAGAGTTGTATACTTTGTTCGACTACAAGAAATATTCCCTTTTATTCCATCTTTCCCACAAGTGATTGTGCTTTACCTATAGAATGTTGTACATGTACTCGTATTACCTGTGCTTAATGTATTTACAATAATATATAATGTATACTATTGAAGTCAATAGACTTCATTTATATCAGTTTTTTAATCTGTAGAGCTACATATCAGTAACTGCACTCCCTTGGATCTTGTATCTCTTCATTCAATGACGTTTTTATCGCATTACAAAATTACACATATCAATAGGGACTTAAAACTTGACACAACCATTAAAATGAAAATTGAAGAAAAGTATCAAATAATATCTGGATATAACGAATTCAAAAAATGCATCAATATTATCATGTTAATAAAAGACAAGAGTCCGACTCAAATTGTGTTTTATTTCTTATAGTTGTAAATAAAAGAAGCTTCTCTAATACAAGTTTTTTTATACATCGAGGAACTTATTGCCAAAATAGAAAAAAATAAAGATTTATGTAACATGGCAAGATTATGTTGAATACCTGACATTCTGTCTCTTATATATTTATTAATATAAATCTCAAGTACTGGGTAACAATATTGTTTTATATGATTACATGGATAACTTTGGCTCCTGGTCTGGCTTGGATTTCACTGTGATTTGAAGATCTCTTCATTAACAGACTATTTACAGAAAAACCTGTACAAGTATCACTCAAAAAAATCATCTCATCATTTTACAAAATAAAATCATTCCAATGAAACAAATACAGACATGATTCAAACCAAACAACAGAGTAGCACTAGTTAATTATAGTCACTTATAAAATGTGTTGTAAAGATCACTATTGGTATTTAAATATTTAGTCAAGGTCTGTTTGTATTATGATTACGAGTAAAACAGAGTAAAAACAATTGTAAAAGAACGACAATGTCAAAATAATGCACTAAACTGTTGATCTGCCAAGCGACAGTGGCAGTCCATAAAAAACAAAATGTGAAGACATTAGACCAGTTGTCTGCCCTTTACCAAGCCATTGCTCAAGAGTGCAATGAACTCAAAAGCACTCCATTATATAAATTAAATAGCACTACCAAATGAGAAATAAAATGTGCCACAAGGACACACGAAATGCCAGACAACAACTTATGCAAGTACAAAAGATCAGTTCTTTATGTGACCCAAAGACTTAAAAGCTAGGATGTTTTACTTGGTGAAATGTATCTGTGACATGGGAGGAACACAAATAATCAAATGGATTGATGTAATTCACTGTTAATCATGGACTATGACCTAAATTGATACATAAAACATAGAAAATATGTTTATAAAAACAAACGAAATATCAGAAATGCAGGTGTCAGAAGTGAGCGGAAAAATGATTCACACATGAAGGTCTAATAAGCAGATAGGAAACAGGCTACCTTTATAATACTTAACAACAAGTGTAAAAACATAAACACAAACAACACTCAACAAGAAAGTTAAAAAAAATCTCTTTTTTTTCTTAAAAAAAAATATCATATTTTGTAGCAGAAAAAAAAGAAATTAAAATAGCTCTGCCTGGAGTTTGTAGAAAGCATTTGTTCAAATAAGTTTGTAAAATATATGTTATGTATACACAATATATACAAATAATAAATTATACAGGCATAATCTAACAGATGCTCTTAGAATACACTCAATCTTAGTCATCAATACTTAGTACTTGTACATAAAGATACTTGGAAAATACAATCTCATGTGACACTGCTCAGAGTGGATTAAAAGATAATCCCAGGTTGGAGATCAGTATAAATTATTCTTTTAATAAAAAGAAATTTAACATCTTGCATTATGCATATAATATACACACATATATATATATGTGTAAACTTCATAAAGAAGTAATTTTAAAAAAAACCAGCGGTCCATTTTTGTATGTATATTATTGAAGTTTAAAATCGGACAATTGTACTTAGTTCCAAGTCACTGAAACAATCAGCCTGACAGCATATTCCTGTACATATATACATGTATATACCGTACGATATTCTCATCAATACCGTACAATATTCTTTTTATACACATAGTATGTAAGCATATGTTTTAAATACAATTTATATTATACCTTTTAAATAGATATCACATGCCAAATTAAAAGCACTATGACAGATGAAAAAAATCTATACATAAAAAAAATATCAGAAACCAATCATTTCAAAAGCCTTAAAATATAAACTAACAAAGCAAAAAGAAGACTTTCTGTACAAATTAAATCATAAGCTTATTAAGCTTAAAACAAATCTACAAGAATATTGACACTTGATCTGCAGTTTTTGTAGTTCAATGCTTTAAACTACTTAGCTTCAAATTAGGCAGATTAAATACTGTATTTGTCCTATTTAGCAGGACAATTAGATAATTAGAAAGGGGGGGGGGGTGCTTATTATTCTGTTTGTTATATAACTTAGGTTATCATACAAGATGTGAAGTTTTAAACAAATGGAAACATATTTTTGTAAAAGAATCCCCATCTAACATTTATATGTATTTTAAAAAGTAATATGCCCCAACATTCTAAAAATAAAACCCTACACATCATGTACATAACAAAATTGATAAGGCATACTGATAAACAAAATTTCATTGTAAATAAAATATGGGAAATAATCACCTTCAATTTTGACATGCCTGAACAATGTCAGTCCAGGAACAAATTCATTAAATATTATCAATACATTGGAGGAAAATGTCAATGTTGGTGGACTGGAAACACCATGTAGAATCATGAAATGTAATGCAATGCTGGAAATATTAAAATTTTTTAGCAAAAGTTAAGACCTATTTAACGGGGCTCTTATGCTTAGTGGATTGGAAAAGATCACAGAGGGTGCTTTTTGGGGCTGGGTAGCTTATTAGGACTAATACGGTAAAGTAAAACTGCCTTTTTCAAAAAAAACAATGACAATAGGTAAATCCTTCTTAATTCTCACGATTTTTTAAGTAACAGTTACACATATATACAATGTGTATTGTAAGCATTTTATGTGATTCAATGATACATTGCATAATCAGAAGTCTCTGAAAAGACTGCAGCTCTACTGGTTTGTACTAAAGTAAAATATGGCAACACCAATAAACAGTTTGGCTCTCTGTATGACAAATCAAATCGAAATTGGGTCAATCTGAAAGAATTTCACAGGAAATGCCAGGGTTCGAAATTCACTATGTACAACTCGCAAAACGCAAGATAGAATTCCCAAATTGCGAGTTAAAAATTAGGTAACTCGTAAAAACTTGCGAGTTGATTTTTTTTGCATTGAAACTGTAGCAAAATTTTATATTATGACAGAACACAATGCTTTTGATTTAAAGCAGTAATTTAAATAAAAGTCACACTGTAGTTGATTTTTGTGTATTGTACAGTAGTTACTTTTTCCTTAAGTTACATGTATTTAATTTATATAAATTTAACTTTATATGAAAATTGCGAGTACCGGTAGTCTTATAAAATTGCGAGTTCACTTTCTTGGTACTCGCAATTATTTGCGAGTTGTAATTTTAGGGAGTTTCTAACCCTGAATGCTATTATTGATAACCATGGATAACTGTTTCATTGATTTTACAGACATTTGTATTGAAATCGAAACCAATACACAAGTATACATCTTGGTGTAGTCTATTTGTGTACGAAGATTTACTGAAAGGTGATCAAAACTATAGGGATAGTAACATTTAAAAAATATTACAGGTTTTGGAAAATTGCTTACAGAAAGACAGACAATGGACAACTTACTAATGCATAAACTCTCCTCGTCTCTGACCAGTAGAGCTAAAAATCATTAAAGTACATTACAATACACTGTATTACACACTGCTTGATCATTGTCAAGATGTATTGCATTGGAATTGTGAAAAAAAAAAAATAAAAAGATATAGAACACAGTACCCTTACAAGTTTATCACAATTTCATGACTTCACATAAACTTTACCTCAATTCTCATTCAACAACCATGTCAGCTACCCTGATTTCCAGATATTACATCTGTTACAGTTGTGCCTTGTCTTTTTTGGATTATATAACAGTTGTGCTCAATATTGTTAAGTGACTACACCTGTTACAATTGTGCTTGATTTCTTGAGACTACATCTGTTACAGTTGTGCCTTATTATTCTGGGACTAAATATAACAGTTGTGCCCAACTGTTAAGAAACTACATACTGGTATGTTACACTTGTACTTTATTTTTTGGGAATACATGTTACAGTTGAGTCTGAATTTGTGGGACTACATCTGTTACAGTTGTGCCTTATTATTTTGGGACTACATATTACAGTTGTGCCTAATTCTGAGACTTCATCTGTTACAATTGTGCCCCTTTTTTTTTTTGGGGGGGGGGGGGGGGGGTATGTTACAGTTGAGTCTGATATTATGAGACTACATCTATTACAGTTGTACCTTATTATTTTGGGACTACACATTGCACCTGTGCCTGATATTCTGAGACTACATCTGTTACAGTTACGCTTTATTTTTTATTTGGGGGGGGGGGGGGGGGTACATGTTACAGTTGAGTCTGATTATTTGGGACAATACCTGTTAAGGTTGTACTGCTGAACACTGTGTGGTTTTTAGAAGTATAATGATAGACCATATTTTCATTCGTGTGGTCAAATGACTCATCGTCACCACTGGTAAATTGTCTGACTGCAGATATGATAACTATACATACCAAAAGCAATATAAATAGCAATGTTATGATAAACATTAGGCGTGCTCGATTTTTCGGTTTCTCCGAATCTAAGGTCATGTTGCTGTGCAATGCTGGCACAACTTCATCCTGCTTGTCAATGAAAATGGTAATATCTGTTGGCTTGAACTTGTTAAAGGACACATTCTTCTGCAGTTTTCCCTCCAAAGAATTGTCTGATCTATTACTGGATAGTTCAGCAGATATTAACCTGGCGTCCTCTTCTTTGTATTTGTGAGTATAGGGTGACATTTTGGCACTTGTATCGTCCACTTCTTGATTTTGTTTTTGACACAACACCAAATAACTATGGCTGTCAAAATTATCCACTCTTCATGTTGGCATTTTCCTCCATTGGACTTTCATCATGACTTGTACAGAGTCATTTCAATCTGTAACAGAAGAGAACATTTCATTTTTATTACAAATCAGTTAAAACACAGACAAATCTTTATGCATCAAGATCTACCCTTGTAAGAACTTAGTCTTCACTGTAGTCAAAGTATCTGATAAAATAATCTGTGTCAGAGTACACACGTACAGGTACTAGTGTGTACTTAAAACTCGTGTACTCACCACTGATAAATATACACATCATTTTATCATTCACTATGCAGAGGGAAAAAAATGAATATACTTATAGTGTTCTTAATTATTTAATATGACTGCAACTATCACAAGATATCACCAAGATATCATGGATATATCACTGAGATATCAATAACTGACCAATATCTTTGTCAGATATTTGGGTTAAAAAATCAAAACAAAATTCCAAGAGTCCCCTGGCACAATCCTGTTACAACCTGATTGGAATACTCAGCATACAAATTAAATGACACAACTGTCATAGCTAGGGAGACTTCATTTACACGACTGTTGAATCTGTGACACATCAAACATACTCATTAAATCCTCATTGTATCCAATTTTTCCACTGAGAATTGAACCACAATTGATCTTTAAAACCAAAAATTTGTGAAGAAGTTATTTGAAAACTGCAGTGCACACTGAACTACTGAAAAATTCAACATGTTCAGATGTTCTTCTTACACAGACTTAAGTGCTGAAGTGAACTGCAGCCCAGCATAATTACTACACCAGCTTACGTATTGATTCCAGTGCATTGTATTAATGAGAATTCAATGATTCATTATTCTTTGGCAAGAAAACAATACATACTGCATCAGGACTGCATCAGGAAGATGACAGTAAGTCTATACATAATCGGATGATGTATATATATACCAATATATGTGTGTGTTCAATTTGAGTGTAAAAAAATACAAGATGTGTTTGTAAAACAATGATGCCCCTGTATGGCAGCTAATGGCAAAGTTGGAGTTTTTTAAAATGCAAGTCAAACACCTAAGGTCAAGGAAAACAAATCAAAATTGTTAGTACCTAAAGGAAGGTCTTGTCACAAGGAATACACATGTGAAATATGAAAGCCCTAGCACCAACTTTCAAAAGTTATTGCCAGGGTTAAAGTTTTCAATAGTAGGTCAAACTCCAAGGTCAAAGGGTAAAAAATTGTTGAAACCAAAGGGAAGGACATGTCACTAGGAATACACCTGTGAAATATGAAAGCTCTTTCATCAACTGTTGAAAAGTTATGGTCAAGGTTAAAGTGTTTCAAAAGTAGGTCAAACTCAAAGGTCAAGGTAAACAGATCAAAATTGTTGGTACCCAAGGAAAAGTCTTTTTACAAAGAATACACCTGCGAACTGAAATATGAAAGCCCTAATATGAACCATTCTAAAGTTATTGTCAATGTTTTCAAATAAATCAAAATCCAATGTCAAGGTCAAATAGTCAATGTTGGTCCCAAAGGAAGGTCTCGACACAAGGAATACACGTGTAAAATAAAAAAGCCCTAGTACCAACCATTCTAAAGTTACGGCCAAGGTTGAATTTTTTTTGAAAGTAGGTCAAACTCAAAGGTCAAGGTCAAAGGGTAAAAATTGTTGGAACCCATTGGAAGGTCCTGTCACAAGAAATACACACGTAGAATATGAAAGTCCTAGTACCAACCATTTAAATGTTATGGCCAAGGTTAAAGTTTTTGTAAAGTGGGTCAAACTCAAAGGTCAAGGTCAAGAGGTCAAATATTTGTACCCAAATCATACAGCATCCAAGCATCAAAATGTCATGGCCTAAAGAACATTTAACTTCTCAATCAGGTGAAAGTTAACTTATACAAACAACTGTGGCATGACAGAATCATGATTATATATATATATATATATATATATATATATATATATATATATATATATATATATATATATATATATATATATATATATATATATATATATATCTTGATCACAATCACCTACATACCAAATATTATATAAATACACATCCATCCATCTTGGTCACAATCACTTGTATAACCTTCTGATACTCCTCCAATAAAATTGACTTGTCTTTCAGAATTTTCAATTTCTGAGGTCTTCAAAATTTGATGCTTCTCTAAAGTCTGTGATCTTTACCTTGCCTCTATGATGTTTGATGAGGGTCACCTCCAATCATAATTAACCCTTATGTATATATGATCTTAGGAAGTTACTTCATTATAAAATTATGAACAAGATTTTTATGTTTCAAACCCAATGACCATGACCTTGCCAAAGTGATCATGATGCAGGGTTGTTACATCCCCTCTGGTCACAGGCTTGAGTTATGGCTAAGGAAAGAGTTTTATATCTTTAGAATCCATGACAATGACCTTGTTCAAATTACCCAGGTTAGGGTCAGGACATACCCTTGAGACACAAGCAACCTCTATCTCAGGTATATCCGTATAAGCTTCTACCATTTCTCCATTTCAAAGTTGTGACGAATATAAATATATTTTTTGATGACCTTGTCCTGGTTAAAAATGACCTTAGTACAGAGGCACACCTCTGGACACAAGCTAACTTTGCATTAGATATGAGCCTCTAAATTTTTTCACTACAAAGTTACCTCCAGTTCAGAATTTCACTCCTCGTTTTCTTGAAGAAAAAGAAGTTATGTGAACTGAAATCTTTAAAAGGTCATAACATTTTCAACTTTGACAAATCAATCTGAAAAATACCAGGTGCTCTACCACAAGATAAAATGGTATAAATTAATTCTATAAGTTTGAAAAAAAATAGTTTCAGAGGTCATCTCCATACAAAATTGTCCACGAACAGAGGGACATGCCGATTCCAGTATAACTTCCAACTTATTTGCTGAGGGTTAAAAATCCAAGTTTCTCTGAGTCATTATTTTTAAAGCATTGTCGTGGAGTGGAATCCTGTTTAAAAAATTCTCCAATGTTAAATCTCACATCAAAAAATATTACCAAATCCTTTTCAAAAAATATTACCAAATCCTTTTAAATGTTCCATTCACTTTTGTTCTCGCTTCCTAGTACACTATATCTACACAAAACAATTTGTAACTCTGTTGATCTGTAATTGCTTAGGTTTTGTCGATAGTAACCAGTAAAATCTGGGGGTTTATATGCCTTCAAAATAAGACTACATGACGTCAGTGGGCATGGCCAACATTAAACTAGAACATTTGTTTAGAAGGAAATAAAAAGACCAGAACAGACTAGGGACTATAAAAAAGGAAAGTTTTAAAATGTCAACTATGGGAACATATCTACCGGTATTTTCTTTATTTGCATTGCCCATGTTTCATGACATCATTTAAACCAAAAAAAAACAAAACAAAACAAAAAACAATTAACCCCCCCCCCCCCCCCATTCACCTTAAATAATAATAAATAAATAAATTTAAAAAGAAAAAATTAAAAAAAAAAAAAATTATAATGAGCTTTTTATATATTACCTAACACCCCCCCCCCCCCCCCCCAACTTAATTGCCAGCATACATACAGATGCATGCACATTTTAAATTCAAAGAAAATAAAATAGCAAATGCATGTTTTTATAATTGATGTCTAGTATAACTTTACATTTTCTACTCTAATATACATTTGCCACTCTACATTATTTAAGATAAAAATAATATAGAAAATAAAACCATGAAAACAGCTGTACAATTTTATTTTTTTATTTTTTTTTTTTTACTGATAATGTAACATTTCTCCACAGGGGTCACTCATTTTTAAATTTGTCCATGTAAAAGTTTTGTTTATCTGTTTTATTTCAACACGACATAATAGCCCCAATAAATTTGGAATTTTATCTCACATTTATCATGTGAAATTTTTTTTAAAAAATTGTAATATTCATATGTAGGTAGATGATGACCATAAATATGCAAACATTCTAATTTAATCTATTAATTATCATAATTTCACATATTTTCTTTATATTCCCAACATGCATAAGTTTACATTTATTATAAATTGCTTTCAGGTTCCAAAGCTATAAAGACTTGTTTGTAAATTCTTTATCTACTACACATGTATGAAATAAATATGATATGCTTTACACTTGATCCCACAAAAAGATAACAGAGTTCCTTTCAAATAAAAGTCTGGTTTATACATGCACTATTATAGCTAAATATGACACATACTTGAGATCAATGATTAACGTCCAAGTACACTGGATTAAGAAAGCAAAAAAAAAAATTTAAACTTAAATAACTGTGAGGTCAATGAACGGTCAATAAACCTTGTGTTTACAGGTGCAGAAATTAAAATAACTCCCGTTTTTCCAAGGACAGTCTGCTAGTTTAACCAGTTTCATTCAGTTCAGCCAAGTTCACTTTTAATAGACAATACCATGACAAAAAGGTATAAAGTAATATTTATTATGGAAAAATATTAAATCATATACAAATATTACCAAATTAAACAAAATTCAGAGCATTATATTTAGTACACATTTCTTTCAAGTAATGATTTTTAATTTTTATTGTGTAATGCTGATTCCTTCACAGTTTAAACAATCTTTTTATAATTGTTTATTAATTTGCATTTATTTATCCTGTTTATTATTAAATTATCATGAAACAAATATTCTACAGCTAGCTTTTAGGATTAGATCAGATTAAATAAATAAACTTCCGACATTCTTATAAGAATGCCTTTGCTGCTCTTCCAGAAAATTGAATTCCACGATCTTTGAACCTTTTTATTGGACCTCCTCCCTTGATGTGTCATAAGTTGATTCGCACAGAAAGATTAATTTGCACTTCTAACATAAGGTTGCCTTAAGGGCATAGGCTACTAAAAAAAAAGTTCTAGAAAATTATCAAAAAGTTTGTACAGGCTTGTTTATTGCCAAAACACACATATATTTTAAATCACAAAGTTTTCTTTTCAAACTACATATATCTGTATTTTTACATTTTCCAAAAATCTATGCTTTTATATCTTAATTAATTAAAATTATCTACAGTATAAAATTTTAATATCATTATTTTTTCTTGCAGTCTTAACCAAATATTTTAAGGATTTTTAGTGAGTTTACATTTTCTGAATTATCAGGCAGTTTAAGATTTGGGAAAAAAAATCTCCTAGACAAACTGCAATTAAAATGAAACGAACTGAAAACCTCTAGCAGTAGTATGGTATGAGTCACCACAGATGAAAGGAAAATTCATGAATGAACCGCTCCCAAATTAGTACCGACCACGTGTTGAACAAAAAAATGGGCGGGATAAATATAGCACACGTCTAGCCCCCCCCCCCCCTTTCCTCTACATCGTGGAAAAATTCTTGCTCAATGTCTTTTTATTAAATAAATGCAGTAGATTTATTTAAATTAACCAATGCTTAATAACACAGCTTCCTGCAAGTATTTTTGAATTACCGTTGTACACAATGAAGATGAATACTATAAGTAAACATGTTTCTGACATGATGATGCAACACTGAAAAAAATCAGCTGTTTACATGGTTTATGATTGCTAATATTTATAAATAGATTTGCTGAAAGATAACATAAACTTCATTCCTTTTCAGCATCTATTTACGGGATGAGCTTCTGTTCAATGACCTACAGTCTAACTGGCAAAAATGAACACAAATTCTTACCATACGTTTAGTTACTTCAGCTGAACTGATCTGGTTAAAACTGGATGTTAAAAAAGTTCGTCGCAATGGACAAAGACGGTATCCATGTATTTCGTTCCCACAGCTTTACAGTACAAATTAATAAAATCCATACTCTAATTATATTTTTTAATAATGAAAAGCTAGGATGTTCTGATGGATATTTCAGTATAGCACAAAATTTATTCTACCTGTCAGTTAAATATTTTTTAATGGCCAAGTCGATCGGCGACGTATGCAGATATTTCATAGACCCCATGGAGTGATGGACCATCCCAATAATCTTTCTCTAAACTACAAACTAGTAGAGCCTAGTTTTTCTGCTATTTCATTTTTCTTTTGACTGTTCATTCTGATATATATTTTGAACCTAGTTTTGTTTTTAAGGAAAGGATAGCAATTTGGAACTACGGCAAATTTTAAGTGTTAAATATTCGGGAAGTTTCCTTTGTAATGCATACATCCTGATAATGTCAATCGATTACCAACTAATATCCATATAGATAAACAAACATATAATCAGTTAAGTACATATACTTACAATAAGAATATCAGATTTTTCTTTTCTTCAGAATTCTCTTCTACCGACGTTCCCTTTGAACTACACCTCACTACTAACTGAGTGTGAATAGGTATCACTGTGCTGCTCATGTAGCGTCATGCATGGTATAATTGTGTGACGTCATGGCGTCAGACAGAACTAATTAATTTTAGTATAGACTTGTTTGAAAGATCTTTCAGTGGTTTTCCATAGTATGTGATAAATCGTCATTAAAAATTTCATCCGATCTACACTATCTACACTATCACACTGGATAGAATACAGAATGGGAAAAGGTTTCTCAAGATCACTCCCAATCTCTACTTCGAGTTGTCGTTCGTTTTCATTTGATTGTAACTTAGGGCCTACGTTCCTGGTAAAACATATTTTAAGTTTCTCGGGGAAACTTATTCTTATATTTAAATTTATTAATTTCTTTAAATATGTACATTATGTAATCTGAGGTAAAAAACAAATTTATCTGCTGAGAAGTCTGAACAAGTAATTCATTTTTGCGCGCACTATGTTTTCAGCGCAATGTGCATTCTGCTATTTCGGCAATCCGGTTTATGCATGAAACAATGTGGGTAAAAGAATGACAACTCTGAATATAGAATTCTGAAAGGAACGGTAACTATGTGTAGAGACTGAGCCACCCGCCGAGATCCACCCTCACAACGTTAGGGATCTTGAGTCAATTAGTTGACCACGAGTGAACTCAGTACCCCTGACGTAGCTCAGACTTAGATATAGTTGAAAATTAAAGCAACTTATACAATAGTATGATATTCCAGAACAGTTTACTTTGGTAACATAAATACATGTGATGTATTTTTAAAAGAATCCTTTTAATTTTCCATATTAACATGTTTTATGCGACATAGCAAAATATAGCAGGATTCATACTGCAAGTATACATCCTTCTAACATTAACTAAATATCAAAGTTTTTTTCTGTTCCTTTACGCTTTAAATCTGCATATTTTGTATCGACAATTTGCAGGACAAACTGAAGGATCGAGTAGCGAACAGTCCACGAACTATAGTATGGATAGAATAACCATATAGAATTAAAAGATATATTTTTCTTTCAATTGAAATCTAACAAGGAAACTTTTCTTGTGTAAAATGCAAAATTAAATTCCTGAAAATGTTCCCAGAAAGTTTACAGAAACAAAAATCCATATGTATTTACAAAACTTTTTGAAAATTATATTGAAATCTAAAGTAACAATATCTGGTTTGGTCAAACATAATTTTTTTTTAAATAAACAGATATCACTTTAGTGAGAGAGGCACCTATTTAAACAAAATTATTGGAATTTTGGAAGAAACTAACTTGCTTGTGCTATTTTCCTTCAAGTTAATACCTAAAAGAAGAAAAAAAGAAAAAAAAGGAAATCTTATTCAATTCAATAACTGTTAATGTTGTCTTTCAGCACTGTTAGAGAAAATCGTCTTCAACCATTCTGAATTATAATGGACCAAAATTGCACAGGAAATTGAATTCAGTCTTACAGTTTATCTGTAATATAATTTATCAGTAATTTAACATCCAAGGAAGGTAGTCTTTATAGAAATCTTACATTATCTATATATGTTGCAAACATGTATAATTAAATAAAAAGCAAGTTAATATTAAACATTTATTCCTGTATATTGGTAGTAAACTATATATATAACGTTCGTTATCTTCTTGTGTGCAATATCATTCGCAACCGGGGGTAAAAAAAATTACCCCATGACTTATATATATAATCAATATATTGTAAAATTAAAACCATTTGGAAAACTCAAGATTTGCTCAAGTTTCCGTATTTTACCGTTTTATTTCGAGTTTTTGTATTTTTATTTATTTATCTTTTTTTTGCGTTTAACTTGAGAAATCTGGCCCCGTTTTACAAAAGAACTTACGGCTAAGACCAAACTATAATTTTACAAATAACTTTCTTTTTTATGTTAATATGAAAATGGTTTAAATCTTTTTAAAAAGAATTTAGAAAGATATATTTATGCAGGCAATTTGTAATATAATTATTAAATGTGCATGCAAGATTTACAATCATCTAAAGTTTTTGGTCGAAGTCGTAAGTTCTTCTGTAAAACGGGCTCTAGAATCTCTATTCTCTAACACAGGACACCTTTTCGGCGTTTATACATGTGTATCAGATATTTATAAATATATTTCATAAAAAGAGAGACGGCTTCTCTCGATCTATCGATAACATGTGATGCGTAGTTGAATGCATGAATAGGTGAAAAAGTGTAGGAGGGGTGGGAATTCCATATAAAAAATGCCCGTGCATTGTTTGGCATTATGAAAGAGTATGATTTAAAGAGAGCACTGAAAATAAAACCTAGAGATTTTTAAATTAAAGATCTTTAGGAATATTTCTATATATCTCAAATTTATTGAAATTCTTCTTTTTATGTAATTATCAGATTATGCTACACTGAGTCAGATTTGTGTAATTTATTTTAAAATCCAGCTTGGCTTGAAACGATGTTCGGAGAACGTAGAAGTGGGGAAAATTTGAGACTCAATGGGATTTCAATTATTTTAAATTAAAAAATTAAACTAACTTTTTGGGATGGTGTTGGAAAAAAATAACTTGATTTAGGTTGAGTTGACCATAGGACCTTGTCTTCCGAATTGTTACATGTAAAATAATGTCATCATTTATGAATAACGAACTCAATTAATTGTCGATCTCTCCATACACGAGTCCACTGTACACCGTTTTGTTATTTAAATTCAAGCGCCTGTTTGACTGAGAAGTGTAACATCATGGCGTCTGGATCTAGTGGCCCTCAAAATGTGACAGAGGCTCCCGAGGAAGATGCTGCAGAATTACAGTTTCCCAAGGGTAATTAACGTGACTGAATTAAAATATTAGAAAAGACAAGATTACAGAATATCTTGATCTGTAATTAAATCTGGAGACAAAGGAAAATCGGGGGGAAGGTGTGGAGAAAATGTGACACTAAATAGGATTTCAATTATTTTAGATTCAACAAAGTAACTTAACTTCTGGGGACTGCTAATTTCTAAAATCTTTTATATGGGTTAGATCTTAGCCATATATGTATGTAATTTTTTGTGTAATTTATATTAAGATCTCTTTTTACAGTCATTTACAGGTCCAGCACAATCTCTTGAAATAGCTATATAGCTTTGTTAAGCTTTTCAAAATAGCTTGATAAGGCTAGTTATATGCAGTTACATGCAATTTTCAGAAAAAAAGTTTTTTGTAAAAAAAAAAGACAAAAAGTCACATTGGAGACTGTACATGACCTTGTGTGTGATTTCATTAGGCAGGGATAAGTACGATTGCTTGTCATTGTGCTGAATTATTACCAATCATTATCTTGTTGACCATAATTTGCCTCCGGCCTTTATAATTTCATTGAAGAAGTAACTGTATCTATTGCTTTATATAGCTCCAAAACTTTTATAACTTTGAGTACAAAGTCTCTTAAGGAGACACAATTTGATGAGTGATTTTTACATGCATCATTTTCAGAAGAGTTCAAGGTTGAATATTATCACTGCACCAAGGTGCGACTTTGTGTGCATGCTGAGAAAATAACACATTTAAGAAAAAAGTGTAATAAAATACTAAATCAAGCTATTCTCTCTCCTAAGGAGAATAATTCTTTTAAACAACTTGATAGGTAGGAGAATAATTCTTTTAAACAACTGTAATCTAAGGTTGTTGATTCTGTGGAATAGGTGTATTGCCATTGAAAGAAGCATATTGTGTTTCCCTCAAATTAAAGGCATTTTCTGTTTTCAAAAAATTTCATCCCTTTTAAACTGTTCCATATTGATTAAAATCTTCAGCTGTTTAATTATCATTTCTTTGATGCTTAAATACACAATAAAAGATTTACTTTGAACTTGTTTAATAGTGATGAAATACCTGTCAATTTGTAGTTTCATTGGCCATGTCTAAGTCACAGATCCCTATTTTGTAATAATGATAATATTGTACTTTACAGAATTTGAAAATGCAGAGACTCTTTTGATATCAGAAGTACAGATGCTTTTAGAACACAGGTAAGTCAGAGTCTGGAATCTCAGCTGTTTACTATTACAAAAATTCCATATTTATCCTAGATTTAAGCTTCAAAATATGAATTATGGATTGACCTCAGGAAATTATGCTTCTGGGTAATGCTCTGAATTTTAGTTTTCTTTTTAGCTCACCTGAGCCAAAGGCTCAAGTGAGCTTTTCTGATCAAAATTTGTCCGTTGTCTGTCGTCGTTGTTGTAAACTTTTCACATTTTCATCTTCTTCTCAAGAACCACTGGGTCAATTTCAACCAAACTTGCCACAAAGTATCCTTGGGTAAAGGGGATTCAAGTTTGTTCAAATGAAGGGCCACGCCTTCTTCCAAGGGGAGATAATTAAAAAAATTAATGGCATCATTAAAAAATCTTCTTCTCAAGAACCACTGTGCTTGAAAATATGAAACTTATGTGGAAGCATCCTCAGGTAGTGTAGATTCAAGTTTGTTCAAGTTTGTTCAAATCATGACCCCTGGGGGTCGGTTGGGGCCACAATGGGCAATCAAAGTTTTACATAGGAATATATAGGAAAAATCTTTAAAAATCTTCTTCTCAAGAACAGCAAAGCCATGATTGGTCATATTTATGTGGAAGCATCCTCAGGTAGCGTAGATTCAAGTTTGTTCAAATCATGACCCCCGGGGGTCGGGTGGGGCCACAATGGGCGATCAAAGTTTTACATAGGAATATAAAGGAAAAATCTTTAAAAAATCTTCTTCTCAAGAACAGCAAAGCCATGATTGGTCATATTTATGTGGTAGCATCCTCAGATAGTGTAGATTCAAATTTGTTCAATTCATGACCCCCCCCCCCCCCTCCCCGATGTGGCCCCTGGGCCTCTTGTTCTATGTAGAAAGCAAAGATAGGGACACTGATTTAAATTCAATGTGTAATTTATGTGTGATACAAGGTACCAAAATCATAATATGTAATGTAATGTGTCAAGTAAAACAGTTTGAGTATTCTTATAACACATACCTTTGTCTAATGCCTTGTAGAAAAACACAGAATGAGAGTGCAGAAGAGGAGCAGGAATTGTCGGAGGTGTTTATGAAAACCCTGAACTACACAAGTCGATTCTCCAAATTCAAGAACAGAGAAACAATATCAGCCATTAGGAGGTGATAACATTATCGGATTTTATTTTACATTATATATGTACATACATTAATAAGTTGTATTTTTGCCCTGTAAACATCTGAAGAAGTAATGTTGAAAAAGAGAGGTATTAAAAAAATAGGCAGATTGACCTTAGCTGCAATAATGTAGCCCTCTCCGATTTTTTTTTATCTGATATTTTCAGGAGAGGGCTACAATTCCACTACATCTCCGTAATGGTTCAAATATATTTTTTAGATACAGGCGACTGCAGGCAAAGTAAATTGTTTTTGCATTCAACTTACTTCCAATAAGACGGAATTTTTATTCAGTATCAACATCATAGCCCTTTATAAGCGAAAACCAAGTAAAATAAATCTGCGTGTTTACCAGTCGTTCTCTTCAGCAGCCATGACAGTTCTCGCGTGATGTACAGAGACTTGCGCTTGAAATTTAGAATCACTTGATAAAGTAAATGTCGGTGTTGATAAATGTTTATGTTGTATGATATCACTAAACATCGATAAATAAAAGCATCCCATGTGACATTTTTTTCATAAACAGTGATATTTATGCTTAAAATAAGGGAAATCCTAAATGATCCGCTCCCCTAGATCCCGAATTCTCATTGGTTGTCCCAAAATAAAATAGATCAAGGTCAGTAAACATGGCAGATAAATTCAAGTTGTGATGTTGACATACACGAAAAATAACCGATATAGGGATTGTTCTGTATAATTTTTGGATCAATTCATGTCTTGCATAACTACATTTTATGAGTTCTGGTAAGATATGTTAATAAAATACCCACTTACTGATAATTTGAGCCGAAATCTGTGCGGTAGTGAATCACTCCCGCACTTGCACCATTACGGAGATCCTAAGGAGTTGTAGCCCCCCCCCCCCCCCCAAAAAAAAATCGGAGAGGGCTACATTATTGCAGCTAGATTGACCTATATGGTTTTCTTTTTGATAGGGAAGAGCAAGACTGTAAATTTGAAGCTGTTTTAAAAAAATATTAAAAACTGTGAGGGATGACCTGTAGCTTTTCAAATTTTCTAAAAATGTCGCTACAATTTAAAAATAAAGTAGTAGTAGTTTGTACACCAGTATACCTTAAACATATGGGGGGGGGGGGGTAATTCAAATACATATACCAATGCCATATGGAAAACAATCTGTTTAAGAGTTGTCTCCCTTTGTATAGAAGATCAGCAACTGACCACAATTTATTACTTGAATATCACAGACTGGATGTTGACATTTGGTTAATGAGGTAAACATGGTGTTTAGAGCTGTCTATTTTTTACAGTGTGTTGATGCAGAAGAAATTACACAAATTTGAGTTGGCAGCCCTGGCCAATCTCTGTCCAGACAATGCAGAGGAAGCTAAGTCACTGATTCCAAGGTGAGTGACTCTCCCACTAGTATGTGTTTATTGTATAAACATGTTTATATGTTATGTTAGGAAAATATTTTAAGCAGAGCTATGTTTATAGAATGCCAAAATGTGGACAAAACAGTGCAGATTTGAATTTTCAGTGTGATAGGAATTTAGACGTTTAAGTTTCTTACATTTCATAAAACTAATTCATTTTTGGTTCAAAATTCAGCAGATCTTTATGCAAATGTCAAATTGATATCTATCACTAAAATATCTTGATTTGATTATCTATCATTGATACATATATGTATAGCTTTGATATCATTAGTTCATATAACTAGTTTTAAAGATATCTAACATTGATATATCTAGAGCAGATATCTAGCATTGGTATATCTAGATCAGATATCTAGCATTGATATATCTAGAGCAGATATCTAGCATTGATATATCTAGAGCAGATATCTAGCATTTGTATATATCTAAAGCAGATATCTAGTATTGATATATCTAGTGCAGATATCTAGCATTTATATATTCTAGAACAAATATCTACCATTAATATATCTAATGCAGATATCTAGCATTAAAATATCAAGTGTAGATATCTAGCATTGATATATCTAGAGCAGATATCTAGCATTGATATATTTAAAGCAGATATCTAGCATTGATATATCTAGAGCAGATATCTAGCATTTATATATCTAGATCAGATATCTAGCATTGATATATCTAGAGCAGATATCTAGCATTGATATATTTAAAGCAGATATCTAGCATTGATATATCTAGAGCAGATATGTAGTATTGATATATCTAGAGCAGATATCTAGCATTGATATATCTAGAGCAGATATCTAGCATTGATATATCTAGAGCAGATATCTAGCATTGATATATCTAGAGCAGATCTATAATTGATATACACTTATTTAGCTTTGATATCTAGCATTCATTATATCATTTATAGATCTGGCTTTCCTAATAAAGAGATAGGAGAGAATCAAACACTTTAGCACTAGTTAGCCTAGTGTACATGTAAATGTTAATTATCTTAAACACAAGTAATCCAAAATCATTTTAATTTCCCTACGTTTAGCAAGAATAAATGTAACAATTTGTTGTCAGTTTTACATATCTATTGACCTACAGTTTGGAGGGATGGTTTGTTGTCAATTTTACATAACTTTTGACCTACAGTTTGGAGGGATGGTTTGTTGTCAATTTTACATATTTGACCTTTCCTACAGTTTGGAGGGGCCGTTTGTTGTCAGTTTGACATATATGACCTTTCCTAAAGTTTGGAGGGGCCATTTGTTGTAGTTTGACATATTTGACCTTTCCTACAGTTTAGAGGGATGGTTTGTTGTCAATTTTACATACCTTTTGATCTTTTATACAGTTTGGAGGGACGGTTTGAGGATGAAGAATTACAGCAGTTGCTGGAGGATATAAAGACAAAGAGGAGTTTCCAGTACTGAGATCAGAGACCAGTCAGCCCGAGGCTCAAACTCAAGATGGACTTATTAGTACAAGGCAGCTGGAATCTTTAGTGGTTGTGTGTGGGATACTTGAAGTTGTCTGCTGTTTATATCTGTTTAATTCACTGAAAGGGATGTCTTTATTTCAGTCTCGTGTATAATTTTCTATTCTGCTTTTGATTTTTATGTATAGACATGGAAAACATGACATTGATTTGCAGGTGAGGATGTTATGAACACAAATTGGTTTGGAAATGGTAACAATTTTTTTTTTTTTAAATCCTGTTTAAGCTTAATGAGGCAATGTTGAATTGAAGGTTTTTAACTTGTTATTGACCAAAAATATCATCGATATATTGTGAAAAAAAAAATTCATTTTCTACACAAATGTTAGCATTTTCGATCATTAAAATATGTTAGACATTTACTTGTTTTGTTTTGTTTTGTATATATACGTATCATATACAGTAAAACAAGCGTATAGTGAAGTGCCAGGGACCAACAACTTTGATTCATTATAACCATAATTTATTACATAAATTCAGTAAGCAAAATGTTTCAAAATCATGGGGAATGGAAATAACTTCACTGTAAGCATGAATTCATTATAAGCAAATACAAGAAGTATAATTTAAAAAAAAATAAACGAGACCCTAAAGCTACAATGCTCCTCTGAATCACTTCATGAAAAATACATGTACAGATGAATGAATTCCAAAAGTATGACCATCAATTTAAAATTCACAATTTCATCTATATTTAATAATCGAGGCCTGATATCATGTTCACATACTGCGGCATATATCAAAGTCTTTTTTTATACCCCCCGCAAACGAAGTTTAGGGGGGGTATATTGGAATCAGCTTGTCCGTCTGTCTGTAGACGAGATTTTGTCCAGATCATTTCTTGGAAACTGTTGCAAGGATTTGTCTGAAAATTTGTACACTTATTCTTTGCCATATGAAGGTGTGCACCTGGTATTTTCATCATGATTGGATAATTTTTTTGCATTTTACAGGTGTTTTTTTCATTTTTATTATGTGGTTTTGTCCGGATCTGTTCCCAGAGACTATTGCATAGATTTGTATGAAAATTTGTACACTTATTATTTACCATATGAAGATATGCACCTGGTATTTTCAACATTATTTGTTAATTTTTCTGCATTTTACAGGTGTTTTTTTTTTCATTTTTATTGACTTAGTCATTTCGGGTTCATGTCTAAGGTTTGAGACATAGAATCTATATCATCTGTACAAAAATGTGAACTACAGGTTAAAACTACTCATTAGAAGTAAAAAAAAAAAAATCACAAAGTATTAAAAACGGTTTTTACATTACACCGCAGATAGTGTAAATCCATTTGTCCCTTGGGAGTAATGAGTGGACATGCATCCAGTTAAAGATTAATTAATGAGTTCAGTGTGGGAAGCTGTTAGGGCATCTCTGATCAAGCAGGTCTTATCTATATCTCCTGGGAATTGGGCAGAAAGAAATAAAGATCTCTGTTGTCTAAGTCTCTTAATTGTAATTTATGTCTGTCAAAATACATAGTTACTGGAACCAGCCTTTTATTTTTAAAATGAGTTTGATATAAAGGTATTAAGATCAATTTGATTTTGTATAATTAATTACGATATTTTTTTTTTCAACAATCAATTTGCAGAGTGTCATGTCTCACAAAGATGACATATAGTTGCAAACTATTTTTTCAATGTAATAAAAAACACTGTAATTACTAGCATGTGACTAGTATTGATGTTTTATTAGACTGCACCTTATTTTCATTCATTAAAAAAAATATAATGAGTACTTAAATTTTCACTCTAAATGATTAAGCAAATTGTGAACACTTCTCACATCTAGAAAACATTAGTGATTTGGTACCTTCTCTGAAAAACCCAGCGGGGGGTATTTGTCCCTTTTGGACAGTTCTAGTTTTTTTTATGAACTTTGACCATTATTGTGATCAATCATTAGCTGTATAGGCCATTATTTGTGTACTCAACAAGGTTGCTTTCAATTTTTGTCTTTTCTTTCCCACACATTATGATTAAATTTAATGTATAACAGGTGATGGAAAAAAAAATGAAAGGGAAAAAATCTTAATCAAAATATGTGTGAAAATATATTGAGAGAAAGAGAGAAGTGGCTACTAACCTTTCAAAATATTGTTTATAATAATATGTCTACAAATAAAGTTATAAAACAAAAACTGACATTCTTTACTCTAAAACAATTCTACACTAAGTTTCATTGAATCAGACTTGACCTGCTACTCATTAAAGTGCACTTGCAAACCAAAAATCAGCCTAATGTCTGCAAGGGTCTAGAAAAAAAAAAACAAGACAAAAGGAAAGCCTGCAAATATACCATATTTTCGGAGTCAAATTTAAGATAATAATTTTTTTTGTAAAAAAAATTGTTGAAATGGATGCAAACTTTGATTTGTAACCTCATTAAGGTTGACACATTATCTGCGAACCTAGAAAACAAATCTGGTAAACCAAATGAGACTGATAGGGGGACACATAGACATACCAAGAGGAAACTTATAGTTCCCTCAGTTTCACTGGTATGGGACTAAAAATAATTTATGAAGAGTGTTTTATTATTTTTTACTGGAATTCGCTACTTTCCTGAATGAGCTTATACTGGAGGTACCAAAATCAAGGTTGTTCAGTCAAATCCAATTATCTTGAACTCAGTGGTGCCGAGAAGAAAGGTTTGAGATACATATAATTGAGGATTCAAGATATACATGTACTAATATATCCATCCATGCTTTGATATTTGTTTTGCACTGAAATTGTAACTTATATGTTGATAACCTTAACATTGATCATATTTATACCCCCCCCCCTTCCGCTTGAAAAACAAGGGTATTCACATGTAGTGATGCGGGTGTCCCTCCATCTGCAACACTTTGGGGTACCCATCTCTTATCCGCAACTCCTCCTATACCAGTGAACAAAATTTAAGCATACTTCCACAGAATCTTAATTACATAGTGCCGTTATGCACCTCCTATTTTACATTTTAATCAGACAGATATTTGGAGTTTCTGGCAGCAAAATCTGAACACTGCCATTAATATTCTTTCTACCAGGTATAACATTGAGGTACCCTTCTCTTATCCGCAACTCTTACTATACCACTGAATAAAATTTAATGAGACTTTCACAGAATCTTTATTACATAGTGCCATTGTGCACCTCCTATTTTTCGTTTCGATCGGACAGATATTTTGAATTTCCCTTAGCAAAAAACATGGACTTTGTCATTAGGATATGGAAGTAGGAGTATCATTTTGTGAACTTGGTGCTCACAATACACCTCTAGTTTTTATTAAATCATGACAACAAGTCAAATTTTTATTTCATGCAAAATTGTTTAAATAAAATATTTTATTGAAAAAAAAATGTTGGCAATTGTGTGAACTTTATTTTTGCACCGATAAAATATTTTGAATATTGAAACAGTTGCAATTGATAAGGAGTAAGAATTTTTTCTTCAAAAAATGAAATATAAAGATGAGACATGTTTTGTTTGAGATATGGATCAAAACATTCAATTTTCAGGCTAAGACAAAAAGGCTAATAAATGTTGATTTTTTTTCAATACAGGGTTATTTTCTACCTGTGTTAGATTTGCCCTTTCACACTTGACAACTTTGCCCAAACTTAAACTCTCGCAGACACATTAGACTTGCTGCCTTATTAGATTTTGCCCCGTTTCATTATTAGTCCTCATGCAAAGAGGGCGAAAGTTTCCCTGTCTACAGTATATCAGCAATTTTTGGCGAAGTATGTTGGAAAGAATATGTAAAATTTGTTCTAAAAAGATCATCGAAACCACATAGAATATCTAATATATAATAACTTGAGAAATTCTCTGATTAAAACTGTTTTGGACCAAGTTCAACAAGGTGTAGATTTCACTACAATAGTCCTTTATAAATCTTATTTGGGGAGGGGGGTTAATTTTTACAATTTAAATTAATTCAAATAAGATTTTAAAAATCAAATTGTAATTGATAATTTTGATATTTGAGGTCTGTACAAACTTTTCTTAAAAGCTAACGAGTGACATACCTTAATTAAGATCAATAAATTTCTCCCTCTTCTGCTTAATTAACAGTTTTTACTTAGATTATCACAAAGTTAGGGTAGATGATGACATATTGTAGCTTGTATATACAGGATGTTAAAAAATCATCTATTTATATAGTATGTTGATGCAGAAGAAATTGCATGTACAATGTATATGTACACAAATTTGAGCTGGCAGCCTTGGCAAATCGCAGAGGAAGTCACTGATTCCAAGGTGAGTGACACTCATTCCTAGTAGAATGTATTTCTTTATTTTATAGACATGTTTGTTTTGTACATGACAACTGTTTCAAGTATGAGTATATTAATATAGAATGCCAAAATATAGAACAAACAAAACAGATTAAGAATCTTAAGGATATCCGATCCTCAGCCAGGAAGGATAACTCTTAAATTTATTATTTTATTTAAAATGTCTCAAAATGAAGCTTGAAATTGAGATCTTTTCGTGCAACAATTTTCATTTTATGCATCTTAATATGATTCAAGGTTCTTTGAGTCTTAGAAAAGGACATGTAAAAAGTTGACATTTGTACCCCATAAAAGAAAAAAAAATGAATTCATTATTAGAGAAATTGAATTTCCTTTAGTCTAGCATTAGATACCACTGCTTATTAGCATGATATGAAATTAGATGCGATATGTGATGTCAAGCAATGATAGCACAAGCTGTTTACACTATGTATTATATCACAAATAAAGTAAAAAGAACTAAAATACTGTACAAGCATAAATTACACAGTACAGTTAAGGTGCCAAATGGAAATATTGGCAAATTCTTTAGATAAAAAATACTTTCTTTACAAGGATGGGCGTTTCTTTTTAGGACTTTACTATTATCGGACAAAAGCAATGTGGTTGAAAACTACATGTTGAGGAAGATTAGATTTCTTATTTAGACTTATCACGTGATGTGACAGTCACGTGATTTTAGCAAATATACCTGAAGTATTGAGGTCATCTATAAATTCTAATATTGCAAGGGCATAACCAAGTTAAAAATCTAAGTTTAACATATAATTATTTTCAACACTCTTTGTAGTTTGTGAAAAGTGCTGCGAACCTATATAGATTCTACTATCTAATTGCTAAAATTACATTTGTTAGACCGTATGTTGAATATTTTGCTGGTCAAGTACATTAAATATAGATATAATTAATTCATTTGCAAGATTTCAACAGGTTCGCAGCACTTTTCAGATATCTTCATACTTCTTGAGTTTATGTGTAAAAGCTTGTCATAATTCATTGAGGGTATGCCCTTGCAATATATCGATTTATTACGACCCTTCAATGAATCTGCATACAAATATAC